TTGCCATACTGAGTAACTGGCTTCTAGTCTGATAGTGTTTTAGGTGACTAGAATAACAGTCTGTCTCTTTCCACAGTGGCTGCAGACAATCTGGCAGCAATCACTGTTACTTTTTAATATTTCTGGTTATTTTGAGATATCCTCCAAATGTCTCAAAGAAGGCTTGGAACACTGAAGGGGAAAAAGCATTTTTTTATTCATTTTTTTTTTTTAGGAATAGCAGCATCAGAAGGAAAATGAAATTCAGCATGCCACTATTTGTTTTTGCAGTGGTCATCACCCTGATTGCCAGCTCTGACAATATTTTCACAGAAAGGGTAAAGAAATAGATGGTATTTGTTCTTTATAATAACTCTTTCAGTAGAATGTCAGGACCTGCATCTAAATGAATATATTCACATTTTCATGTTCCCATTTTTTATTTAAAGCTTCCCCACCCAACTTTCTGAAACTACTTCATACAGACTTGGTAAGTTAAAATTAGGGTTCATGTAGTGGATAATGTCACATTTGAAAGCTAATCTGTAGAGACCTAGCTGCGTGAACCTGTAAAAGCTAGATCTGATTTYTTTTACGTATTAAGTGTTTGTTTAGTTTAAGTATGTCTGTATCTTTTTCGAGCAGTCTGAGCAATTTGCATGCTATGCAGCAGTCATCTTCTATACTTTATTAAATATCTGTCAATTATAAATATCAAGGTTTTACATTAATGTCAAGATAGTACATCAAAAATTCATGGAATATGTGACTTTTTTCAAGGGTATTTAATACTTAATGCATTTGTGTCATTTTTCTTTCTAGATATATTGACAGGTTTTATTAAGTGTTTGTTAGGGAGATTTCATTTTTACCAAGGGACTATAAAGAGAAGCTGCATACTAAATCAAATTTTTAATCAGAATATTGTTCTTTTTTGTCTGTCTTCAGATTCTTGTAATCTATAGGGTTTTTAAGTTACATAGTAGAAAGACCAAGTCAGAAATCTAACATGATCAAATATGCTGACGTATCTTAACTTTAAAAGAGCTACTAGAATATTGTACCATGGAATGTTATAAATATGGTAATTACATRTGCTAGAATTTTATTCTACCCTGTGTCTTTTGAGAGTGTATATTTTGTCCTTTATTGTAATTATGTGAATTACATGTGGATGGTGTCCACATAGGGGCAAAGTTTCACAGGTTTACAAACGAGGACAGTGACAGAGCATTTGGTGGCATCCCGGATCTTTGGCCCCTGGGATGGGTGTTCAGCTTGGCTGTTACAGGGGGACTGCTTGTGTGAAATGAACAATTGATCTCCCTGCGATCCGCTGATCTAATACACCCTTCTCACAGAGAGGACAATGACAACATGTGTATACCTTGCATCCTATGCTTATTTGCTCCAAGTTTGGGTTGAGGCTGTTGGCTGGTTGCTCTCGGAATGGAGTGTGGGCTGGAACTGGGCACAGGGGCTGTAGCAGTCGCTTTTTGGCTTTGTGCCCCCGCAGTGTCTGCAATGCTTTTTTACTTGKAGTGCATTATGACCACAGTCATTATTACCCTTGGAAAAACAGCATGTTCCACTAAAAGCTGTTAGGGAGTAGGAGGAAAGCAGAGGAGAACAGAGGGGACAGACAGGGGTGTTTGCCTTCCCGGGGTCTTTCTCCTGCGGTGATTAGGTCCGTACCCGCTCGGCCGGGGGCACGCTGGCGTGCAGTGCAGGTGCGGTATCCGGCGCGGGGTTTGGGGATGCTGGGGGCGGTTGGTTTCGTGTCCCGGCCCCGCAGGCCGGCGGGAGGAGCGCGGCGGTGGCGGTGGCGGTGGCGGCGGCTCGGCCGGGCGGAGCGGAGCGGAGCAGCGCTGAGCGGTATCCGGCAGGGGGCAGTGCCGGTCCGCGCGGCCCGCGGTCTGAGGGCCCGGCCCGGGGTGCGGCGGGGCTGCAGCGGGGCCGAGAGCCGGGGCGCGGGCGTGGGCCGCACGGAGGGCACCCACAGGGATCGGGGGGCTAAATGTGAAATATCGTCTGTAAACCTGAGGCGCGCAGTGAGACCCGATTTCTCACATCGATCGCCACGGGCCGGAGAGGAACGCGGTCGTGCTGTAAAGGGAAACTGAGAGGCTGAAACAGTGTTGTCTTTCCCTGCTTAATCTATCAAGCTGCTGCAAAACAGATTAATAACACTAGCAATAAGAGTTGCAATTGCATTGTCATAAACGAAAACTACAGTGCGGTTTGTTTSTAAGAATTATTTCCAGCTCAAGGCTGACTTTCTGTGTTCGTTTCTGGACTCGGGTCTGGACTGTCCTGCAGCGAAGGTGCCTCCTGAAATGTCTTGGTTTGGGTCTCAGTCTGGGTTTGTGCTSAATGTTTCTGTGGGAACGAACAACCGTACAGTGTGTTGCTACAATTAAACTCGAAGGGATTTGTTATACAATGACCGTGTCATCGATGTGAGTGAAAATCATATGGAAAYGTAGAAAAAAGAGAAAAATTTAAAAAGTGAGGGGAAGGACAGGAGCCCCTGGAATGATTAACTTCAGTCGTGTTTCGGAGAAAGCCCATCGGAAGGGTTAACCGGAGGGGCTGAGAGAGAGCAGCCACCTGGGACCTCACACCCAATTGGCAGTCTTTTGTAATATATAATTTGCCTAAAATTGCGCGCTGAGCACAAGCTTTTGTTTTCTAATTGATTTACGGTTTGAGCCACTTTTACCTCATCCCCTACTGTCCTGCACACAGTGCCAGCAAGTACATTACAGTGAGAAATGATAAATTGCCACACACTTGTGATGCTAATGCATCAAGAGTAAAAAACTGCGTACTACATGGAGCTTCATGCATTAAGAGCATCGCAAAGATAGAGCTATGCAAAAAAATCATTTGTATCTTCTGAAATAACCGTTTGATCATTTGCTTTAATTCATCACAGAGACCTAATTGAACCTGAAGATTAAAATTTATGCTACTATGGCTTTCCATTTGTGAATTGGAACAAAGTTGTAAAGAAAATGTGTGAATGTAGGCTTAAAGCTACCTGTRTTTTCGAGACTTTAAATAAGTTAATTAATCGCAAAAATAACAGGTATCAGAGCTTCTTAAAGCCTTTAGAAATTAAATGTTTGCTTGTTAATAAGAACTGTGGTATGCATTCTCAAATGGCACAGCTCCACTTTTAGATAGACGTGTGTAGATGGGTTAATGTAGATACTGTCTAATCAGTGTTTGTCACCAAAGCTATTTAAATATTTTAATCTGCTTTTGTTTCAGCGGTGTAGTGCAACTTTTACTGAATAACACTGTTACAGGTATCAAGGAAGAGYTGGAAATCTTGTATAATATTTCTTGCATTTGTGAAATACCTTAGTGATATCCCAGAGGAGAGGAAAATGTGGAAATTGGTGAAAGCTAATGTACGCTTATTGTTTGATTTTTTCCCCCACTGTGCATCGAGGGCTGGATTGTGTTTTACCTTCACATACTCGGTCCACCTTAAWTTTTTTTTATTTTTGTACAATGTCTGTGGGTTCCAGTCTTGAAATATGAAGAAACAGATTTATGGCGGCTGCTGGGCACAACAAATTAAGTTGACAGTGATGTATGAGAGCATAATAGCATGATGATCCCTCTGTAGCGCGGCTGGACGCCTCCTGCTTCATTTGGCTCTTGTTAGGATCTGTTAGGCAGCTAAATAATGAAATTCTGCTGACTGATTTCTGATTTTTCTTTTCTTCCTCTTTTCACCTTTTTATGCAACTTACATTTTTCAGGCCCATCCTAATGCCAGCAAACTGCCCTTAAAGGATTCTTTCACTTATGACGACTACAGGTTGGTCTGTCTTTTAACTAATTTTTTTTCTTTGTTTCTTTTCTTTTTTTTTACTATGGTAAACTATGGGGCCCTGGAAATTCTTCATTGGTGGGAAGGCCCTATTGTTACTGAAACGTTAATTGTAGGATTTCATATAATATAAATATAAATAATAAATTATATAAATTCATATAATTCACTTTCTTAATGAATAAGTGAAATAAATATGCAGATTTTAGTTGTTACRAAGGAATAGTCATTATAAGCAGTTAATTTAGCCAACTGGCACACATAGTCTGAGGTTACTAAGGTAATTCCTTGTTTCTTAAGAAAATAATTCAGTCGATGTGGCAGGAGTTTTAGGGTTTGGGGAGGTTTTTTTTATTTTCTTTTTTTTTTTTTTTTTTGTCATAAAAGGCTCTACCAGCACATACTAGCAAAAGTTATTATCGAAACTGCTGCTGTTGAACAGGAGAAGTGGAGAATGGAAGTTGTACACATGAAGCATGAGTGTCAGTTGGAGGTGCTATAAGGGGTGACAGAATTAAGATAAAAAGAATAACAATGAAGATAATAAGAGCTTTAATTCTGTTGAATTATTAAAATAATATAAATAAAAAGCATTTGTGAGGGATTTTTTAGCCTAGTTGTACTTGTGGGTTAAGTCTGTGAAAATGTGATTTCTAAAGCACGTCTCCTTTGCTTAAAGGGTGATTGAGGAACTTAGATGTAAAGTGGYCTACAATTTTTCAGATAAATTACAACAATTAACAGGACACATATTGTTACTATATTTCAAACAGTGTTTTCRTATCAAAATTGTTCACAATTTTTGCTTTCTTTTTAAAAATTAGGTGGATTTCAGTTTACCACTGTCTTTTTTAGCAGTCCAGGCCTTCTGAAGAAATCCTGTTAAATTCATGTTAGTAGTGGTGTCTGTGTGATTTGACATTATTTTGATCTTCTCCTGAAGGCRTCTTTTTTTCCCTCAAAAAACCCTGCAACACAGATATGTATTAAGACCAGAACATAGTGCAACTAAGAATGTCTTTTCCATTGGTGTTTAATACTAATTTTTGTCAGGTATAAAATAAAAAATGCAATTCCAGAAAATACTGAAATTCTAAAGGTTTTCTAAAGATTTTCTTTATATTTGAAAAGGTACCTTGCATTTTGTTTAGTTAATCTGACTTAGAAGGGTTTTGAATTATGTCCATGTGCAAAAGAACTATGTAATATTCTCTTCATGTTTTTTACCTGGATATCTGTTTGGAATATTGTGGCTTTTTTACCCCCTCAGAAAAGTAGAAAATTTAGAAATACTGACCTAAGCTGAAACTGAAGAGAAACATTTACAAAAGATCATGCATGTGTCAGGTGGTTGTGCTGGTTGCCAGTTCATGCAGTACATCAGCTTTTTAGAGTGAGGGGGAAAATATGGCTCTTAGGAGAGTTTGCCCGTAAATGAGAGCTCCTGCTGCCAAGCAGGAAAACCTGCAGGAGCAAGTGACCCCTAGATTTGGGGTGTGTAGTGTGAGATACGTATGCAGTGAAGAGCTGACTTAGGAGTGGATTCTGGTTGAAGGACGGAGCCAATGGAAGGTGTGAAGATTCTCTTCTGTAAAGAGAGGAGGTGTGAAGATTCTCTTCTGTAAAGAGAGGAGGCACTGCAGTCCTGCTTTAGGATTTGTTCTGTGTGTATGTCTTGGAGACCTGGGAGCTGCTGCGTCTCCTGCAAGTGATGTTGCCTTCTACTGTTCCTATAGTCAGTGTGATCTTTAAGGAAACTTAAGTTTGGAAACTCCCAGTCTAAATGATTGCTTCAGGTGGGACTATGGCCAATGATATTTTAATGTTTTGAGCATTGACCATCTTGTGTTTTTAACTTTTGCAGATGGGCTGTTTCCTCTGTTATGACACGGCAGAACCAGATTCCAACAGAAGATGGTTCCAGAGTTACRCTGGCTCTGATACCTTTATGGGACATGTGTAATCATACTAATGGACTGGTAAGGACTTCTTCAGTGTTGCTGAAAGGCTTTAGGGCTTAAGCATTAATCTTTTCAACTCCTTTTCAACTCCTGTAGTTTAGTAACACTTCGTGTTACACTTCTTAACACAAGTATGTTATCTTCCCAAGAGACCCTAAAAAACTAACTGAAAGGTTTGTCAGTTTCTCAAATACCTTATGATAGCTTTTCAGGGAGAGCTTTCTTTATCTAGAGAAAACTTTACAAGTGCTTGGATACTTTATAAAGTTATATCTTCTGTGCATATAATGTACTTTTAAAAGTTTTCATTTACATGATACATTTTGTCCAGACAAGCCTGAGTAGTCTCTCCTGACAYGGAGCTTTGTTTCTGGTGGGCTGAAAAAGATGCTCACTACTGGACAGATTTGTTCTGAGAACAGAAAGCAGGCACTGATGGAGGTTGCCTCTTGTAGTTACCACTAGGGAAAGTGGCTAGAGATTTGCGACTAAGAAATACTGCCTGCTCTCCTAACCATGCCCAAAGAGCCTTGTTATAGAGATGGCAACAGCAAGAACAAAGCCTAGTTCAACAAAAACAGTACATCTGTTACTACATCAAAGAAACAAAATGCAAAAATACTACTTTAGGGCATATTAAACATTTAAAAGGTGACATATGTATATAGAAAGTCAGACCTGCTGACATTTTGGCTTACGTGCACTAGTTCAGGGGATATTTCCTGATTTCATTAACAGGCTAGTTAATGCTGAGGTGAGGAAATGGAAACCCAGAGAGGCTGGTTTATCTGTGTTATTTAGTCATGCGCATGGACTCTTCAAAAGTCATACCCTCTACTTGTACTTCCAGTAGAMAATATTATTTATTGTAAGCACTGGATATGACCATGCTATTCAAGTGAACTGGTTCTTTTGTGGGAGGATTGACCTGAGTGATAGAACAGCAGTATGCGTTAGTGCTGTTGGTRTAAAAAAAGTCTGTTTTAAATGAACAAACTGTAAAGCAAGTTGTTTTTCACTCGACATTTAGCTAATTTAGTATTACTATGACTGTATCAATTACAGCAGGGGAGGCTAGGCTACGAAATTGCAAGTGTTTGGGGTTCATTATTTATTTTTCCCTGTTGCAAGGTGGTAACATGTTGTTCTTTAACAGTGATTCTTGCCTTTGCTTAGTTGTTACACAATCTCACAGCTTTGATTTAGCAACAAAGTTCATATGAGAGTCTTTAGTACAAAGAAAACTGCTTGAAATTCAGAAATGTGTATTTTTGTAATATAAGTCATAGCTGTAAGCGTCAGTGCTTCCTGTACCCTTTTCCTGCTGGGCATCTCTTTCAGATGCTTTTGCAGAGACTTGTCTGTATTCATTAGACAACTCTTAATGAATGCCTTCAAAGTTTGGATTAGAGTAAAGAGGAAGAGAATCAAGGTTCTGTGAGGGAAAAATTAAGTAGCATATATTAAAAGAGTAGCTATTTATATTGTTTTACTCATTCAAACTTYTATTTAAATTGATAAAGTAATTTTTATTTTTATTATGCTGTTTAACAATGGGTTTGATATGGAGCCAGCCTCTGGAGCCAAACCTGCTAATGTAGTAGAATATCAGGATTGAAAACGCTTTTTTTATGCTGAAGTATATCCTAAAGGGCAAGGGGGGTTGTGCTGAACTTAAATATTTTGTATATATGTAAAGATTTCAGTAATTTATTTCATATTTCTACAGAAAATAGTTTAAATGGATATAAATTCAGGAAGGATAGAAAACTGTAATATTGGTAATTGGCTAATAAAAGCTACTAAATCTATTTCTGTTGTGTGCTAGTTGTCTTGTACTATTAGAAATGAAGGGGGGAAGACTGCTAAGATAACTGTAAGCTGCCTGTATTGTAGTTTATATTATTGTAAGATGAGAATAAGGGTGGGCTCTGTTGTAATCATTGCACAGTCCCTTTAAAATACATTAAGTGGATTGTTATTCATTGCAGGAAAGTAAGAAACAAAAGATGGCATTGAATGCACCCCTGTCTTTATTCCAATGTAGTGCTGAAATCTCAAATCAATCAGCTACCWATATATATCCCTGTTCTTGCTTTATTCCACAGAGCTCCTTTCCATGAGCTAGATAATAAAAGGCTCTTTGGATTCTAACTGGAGCTAGGTCCATCTAGCTTTTTCTTGCTTCTGACACTATTAATTAGATCAACCTGCCTCTAAGAACTATTTCAAAATGGTTGTCTTCATGCATTTCTCATTGTTATTCTTTAGTGGGATTGTATTTTGACAGTCAGAGGTTGATTACCAGTTCTGACAGAGCTTTGAATAAGCTACATTCTGCCTSTTGGGCTGGGTCCATCCTTAATCACTGACCAAGCAGACTATTGCATGCTTTATACACAACTTGAAATTCATGTATCAGTCTGCTTCAGAAATAAAACTGAAGGGATACAATTTGTCAGCTATCATGTGGGAAGAGAAGTAAACACCCTGTTAATTCTCTTACATGACTGCTATTAAAAGAAAGAGGAAATAGGAGTCTAGCACTCCATTATGCTTTATAGAGAAGTCTTTCAGAAGTGTTGCTGGATTTTGTGTGGTGGTTTTATTTTGTTTTTTGGTTTGTTTTTTTTTTCATTTAAAAGCAAAAATAAAAATTTAAAAGAAAGATTAGTACTCTAGTGAGGCATGCTTAAACTAACAGAGTCCTCCTCTAAAAATACTGGAATTTCCCCAGTCTGTGAAAGTCTCCTGTTCCTCCAGCATTTCCAGGAAATGGAGTGCATTTTTCACATACAGAATTATTTAATTGGATTTGCACACTAAGAAAATTTCAGGACAGGTCAAGAGCTCCTTTTTTGGATGAAAGGTACAGTTTTTCAGAAGATGGTTGTATTTGAGCTAGGAAGGTATATTTGTCATCATCTAGCGCTTGTGACCTGCAATTCAGGGTTAGATAACTTTCTCAACCCCTCTTATATCTTGATTCAAATTGTGCAGTTCAAATTAGAAAATGCAGAGGAATTTCTGTGTTCAACTACTACATCCTGTATTTCTCAGTAGGCTGTATTTCATGACTCTTGTGTTCTCTTCTGATCTCCACATGCCACAAACCCATTAACAGACCTGTAGTGCTGGCATCTGCATGTGAAGGACAAGTGTCCGCAGGGCCAGGCTGCCCGTGCTTGGGGCTGACATTTTGGATTTGCTCTGTTTGAAAGCACTGTTTCGGCTGACAAGTGCACATTTGATGATGCAAGCAGTGCAAAACTATTAATGTGTGAGCCATCAACCAAGCTTTTGAAATAATCTGAGTAGTTCTGTCTTTGGACAAGCTACATCCAAAATGGGAATCAGGGTATACCGCAGCTCATGTCAGTCAGCTCGCAAAAAAAGGTATGTTTTCATTTTCAAAGGCTGAGAGAGAATCTTTGGCTTCTTCTAGGTTTTTTTCCTCAGGCCCAGAGCATATTTTTCTGTAAGTTTTCTCTGTCAGTACTGAACTCATACTACSTACCATAAAAGTTGCTTTCTGATTTTTCAGCAACTTATGTGACTGCATCTTTGGTAATAATGTTCAAGAATATGCTGTTTATCACTCCATGAAAATATTATATTTTTAGCATAGCTTTACTTGTTAGGGTGACCCTTTTACAGTTTAGTAATTGTTTTGGGGGAAGTGCAGGTTTGTCAAGAGAGTTTATCCTCTTCCATTGCCTGCTACCATCACAAAAATCCTTTTAGCATTTTAAGAGTATTACTTAACTTTTAGATAAAGGGATTATTTTCAAGTAAATTATAATTCTCTGAAGATTGTATCCCCTAAAGATCCACAGTTATCTAATCCTTTTGCATTGAGAGATCAAAAATATGTTGGCAGTTGAAGGATAAAGRACAGCATATAGAGCTGTCAGTGCCTTGCTCCCTTGGGCCTCATGGGAGTGACTGAAAGCTCCAGAACTTTATAACAAGCTGCCGGTTTTAGCATGGCACTTTGTCTGTGGTCTATGGAGGGTACTTTACTCAGAGCCTTCTGTTCACTTCAGGTAGGTTATTTCCTCCATTTTTTAAATCCAAGAGATTTTTTAAAAAGGAGATTGCTCAGGAATTGTATAGCAGTCACTATCAGTGATGTTCTATTGTACAGAGAAAGAAATGCATGCAGTTCCTATTTTTAATATTTATTTCCAATAGAAAAATTTGTCAGTGGTGGGAGAGAGAAATATAAAATTCTAAAGGTGCTTTTGTCACTCTTTTCTTGGATAGATCACTACAGGCTACAATTTAGAAGATGACCGGTGTGAGTGTGTAGCACTTCAAGATTTCAAGCCTGGAGAACAGGTAGTGTGAACAGTTATCTGCATAATCGTTCTTTTGTTAAATTCTGTGGACACTTGGTGATTCCTTACAAAATTTTAATAACAGTGATGTGGATTAAGCCCTGCTACATTTGAATTTYATTATGCTAAGCTAATTTTGTGTGAAAATGCTACCAAACTAAATACATGCACATTTTTCAGAATATCTTCTATCATTTGGTAGACCCCAACTGTAGGAGAGGTTTTATTCCTCATATTTTAGAGAACTATTTGAAGTATTCAATCATTGGTAAGTGTACATACACTGCCACTAAGTTTGGTATTTTGGAGAAACTTTCTAACAGGCCATATACAAAGGACCAAAGATAAATATTTTTTAGATTTGAAGCACCACTTCGTTTACGATAGAGGATTRTAGAGTCTTTCTTAACAATGGGTGTTTGTTGGCTTATGTTTCTTGTTAGTCTTTATTCATTTAAAAGAGGTGAAATGCAGTACAGTTGCCAGTCATTTTAACCAAAGCTGTTGTCATTGCAATGCTTAGTGGAAATGGAAAAGGACCTAAAAACACACTCCCTCTGTTTCACATGGGCATGCATGCATTTGCCTCTTCATCTTGAGACAGAGAGAGAGCCTYGCAACAATGCATGGGCAGTTCAGAGTCCAGTATTTTGATCAGAACTGCTAAGAAACAAAACTGATCCGAACTAGTGATGCATTGAATACAGTGGTTCCGGGAATGTAGGAAGCCCCTGTGCTGTGTCAGSAGCCACCCTAAACACTCAAGTGGACTACGACTCCTGTTCTGACTACTGCTTGTGCAACTGCAATCAGCATGACCAGACAAAAGCTTTGTCTATGAAACATCCTGAAAAATATTTTGTAACTCRGCCTCTGAGTTATTACTTTTACTGTATTATTTTGTCAGTCTTACAAATTATAATATTTAAATTTTTCTTATGTATTATTATATTCTTTTTAACAAAGAAGTGAGTGGAATTTTTTCTTTTTTAAATACATCTTTCTGGAAGTGTATTTATCCTCATTGCTATGCTGCAGTTTACAGTGATTGTATATTTTTTCTCTCAGAATTTGTTATGGTAGTCAAATATTTTCTGTTTTTTCCAATAGTGGTGTGATGAGTTAAAAGGGGTCCACAGTTTTTCCAGAAGTGATCCAATTTATAATTTTCCACAGCTGGCAGTGGATGTGTCATATAACTGTTCTGGCTGMTCTCTCCATTTCAATTATAGAGGGTTCCTATATTTCAATTTTATTTTAGTAGTTTCACTTTGTCTGCTATTTATCAGGGTTTTTTTTTTAATTTCTGTGCAAACTTTAACTGTTAGTGACATCTTTAAAGTACTGTAATTATATAATGCTTCGGTCCTTTAATATACCGTGCAGATGTTATTTCTTACAGTTTCAGCAGGAAGAGTGCATGATCCATGCTTTTACTACTAAAAAATGTGAGGCAGCAGAAGTCCACAGAGTCTGTCAAACACTGGCCTGAAATAAAGCAATTCTCATTCTGTTTAATTGGATTTTTTGTAAAACAGTCTTGGGGTGTAAGAGCATAACTGTGTAATCCATACATGATGTGACTTTTAGTTTAATATGAGATGTATCACAGTAGTTTTAAACCTTGAGAGGGTGAGCAGCTCGCTCCTTACCCACTGCCTTAATATATCTAGGCAGGTCACTTGTTCATCATATGAGTGTGTTACAGTATAATGTTTACTATAATTCAATATCATACTTAAGCATTTAGTACTTAGGATAGATAGTTCTAATATAAAATTGAAAACAAAGGAAGTAAATGGCATCACTGGTGTTACTTGTGCCCTTTAGAGAGCACTGTCTTTCTCTGTCAGCTAGAGTAATGGAAGCTTGCAGGCATCCAGAGCACTGCTGTACCCTGAGGTTATGAAGGGAATTCTGTAACTTCTGAAACTTTTTTTCTGATTGACAATTCTGTTATCAAACACAAATGGGAAAATATCCTCTTGATGTGAGAGAATACAATTGCTACTCTGACCTCTAGTCCCGTGCATTTCATACAGCCTAGCCTTGAATTAAATACATTCTGCAGGTTTTATTTAGGAACTTCTTTTTATATGTGAATTAAAGTAACTATATGCTTCATATAAAAGAATTCAGAGTAAAATACAAAAATAAATACTGGCTGCACATAGCTCTGATCTCTCTGTATGATGTACTGTGCTATATCCATATCTCAAAGTAACATTAAAATGAAAGCAAAGCCAATCCATCAGCAGTATAGGTTACTGTTTTGAGTGGACATTTGGTTGGGGAAAATTACTCCAGAAACACCATTTCTTTTAATGGGCCCTCCTTGTCTCTTATTCTTTTAGCCTTTAAAATGCCTTTGAAAGCTTATTTCCATATGCTGGTACTTTATGACAGCGAGAGAAACAAAAACATTTTATTTTAAAGTACAGAATAAGAAGTTCYTGCCTTTCGAGGTCTCTGTTACATAGATATGTTTACATCTATCTCTAAARTGTAATTGCCACATTATATACAGCATTTGACTCAATACCAGAAAACAAAGCATGCTTCTTCATGTAACCAAATATACCTTGTACTCAGAATAGTAACTCTTTTGGAAAATAACTTTCAAATTATGTCATTTTTGTGAGCTGATCTTAAGCTTTTTTCCTGTCCCTTCACTTCTCTTTTCATCCTTCTAGATTTACATTTTTTATGGCACTCGGTCAAACGCTGAATTTGTGATCCACAGTGGTTTTTTCTTTGATAATAATTCACATGACAGAGTGAAAATAAAGCTTGGCGTGAGTAAAAGTGACAGGCTGTATGCTATGAAGGCAGAGGTCTTAGCTCGTGCTGGTATCCCGACGTAAGTAAAACACAATGCCATGGGTTTTTTAAAACATTTCCAAAGTATATAGTGTCCAGTAGAGCATATATGAAGCTCTTCTGTGATAGTTTTCTTAGGTGTAATATTTCTCCTGTTTGTATAGCAAATTAAAGTTATTGTAATAATATTTACAGAAGTTCTCTAAGCTATATTATCATCTAATTTGAACCATATATAAGGAAAAAACCCTTTGCTTTAATAACCATTTGAACAAAAACAGAGCAAGGATTAATTTGAAGCAATCTGTGGTTTTTCTTTCTTTCCTATCCCTTGCAGACATACTACAATGTACAGTGTGTGAATCACAGCATTTTCCTTTAGTCTTTTCAGTCCAGAGGGTACTATTAGGAGCAGCAGACATGAAAGATTGCATTTTCATGAATTTATTATGAACACTGTGTAAAATAATTTTAAGTATAAAACTGTAGAGATAATTGTTCTTTTCAGATACAGGTTAGGGGAGCTTTTCAGTTTGAGCTAATATTACCTAATTTTTTTAAGTTGCTTTTGTAGCAGAACATTTATTGTATATGTTATGGGTTTTTATGTTGAAATAAATTCAAAGATATGACACTTGAACTTGCATTTACTGTTGTTTGATTGTTTCTTTTTATTAGTTCTAGTGTTTTTGCCTTGCACTCCACTGAGCCTGCAATCTCTGCCCAGCTTTTGGCTTTCCTTCGAGTATTTTGTATGAGTGAAGGTAGGTTGTTCTGTGAAGATAACATAATTTATGTTTGAGTTGTTGTGGGAAATTTTGATTGTTTTTCTTGTTAATGCAGGAATGTCAGAGACATAAAACATTARGATAAAAGATCAGAAAAGTGAGGACTTTAAGTTAAAAAGGAATCTGTCAGCCACTGAGAACCCCAATCTTTGGCCATGTTATCTGAGAGAATATTTCAGTAGCTCTGAAAGCATGAGATGATACAATTATTTATTATCTTTTAATCTCCCAGACTGTTGTGAATGAGTGAGCTTTGGAGTTTGATCACTAGTTCTTAGGTTTCAAAATAGTTTGCAGAACAAGATCATGCAAGACCTAGGGGCTTACATGCTTAAAATCACAGCATTTTAGCCATCACTGCTGGAGTCATTTAAGTATGAAATTGGAATATTCTGTACTGTAGGGGAAACAAGGAAGAGACATTTCATTTCAAAGTTAAGTATTTTAAATACGATGGTAACTTGTAATCTAAAGCAAATTTTTGTATTTTAAGGTTGTCTTCCCAGCATTTCTCTTCTGTTACTTTTTTTTTTTTTTTCTGTGGGGCAAAATATGTGTACATTTAATAAATATTCACCTTATTTGTGCATATGAAACTGCTCATTAAATGTTCATAATAGCTCCTTGCTGGTTATATGCAGTTTTGAAGTTTATGGATGTGACAGTTTGTCATGACAGTAAGAGAATTCCCTTGCAGTTAGGAATACTGTGCAGATGATGTGGATTTTTTGTGCCAGTAGGAATACTGAAATAGTTGAGTTTTTTCATGTGGTCTATTTACTTTCTTTAATAAAAACAATGTAACTTAGTGTCATGCCTTCACTTTGTCCTGTCATCCATCTTTTAGAACTTACTAGAAATTAGAATATACCAGAATTATTCAGTTGGAAAGGATCTAAATAATCATCTATTCCAAGTGCCTGTCTCTTCTGGGAAGTAAATTTAAAGGAAGAAAATTTTAGGATGCTGACGAAGAAATGAATTTTGGCTTGGAGAGGAAAATATAGCTAGTGAATGTTTTAATTGCATTTCTCTGGTATATGATTGTGCTCARTTTATTTATATGTCTTAAATACTGTTTAATAAAACTGTTTATTAAGAAACTACATGTAAGCTCTAAGTGAAGTTTGTGATAAGTGCTTTGCAGTAGCCAAATTTATTAATTAAAAGCTTAATGATATTTGTGTAATGTCACGGAGCTGTAAATGMTTTCTGCTCTGTTTGAATATTGATGGATGTCTTTTCTGACCACCTGTAGGAAGTTTCTGCTACTGAAAAAGATTACCAAAACAGTAGGGAAAATAATTCCATTGCTACTTGCACACTCTCTGGTCTGTTCTTGTTATTCTCAAAAAGTTCATTGATCTCTTTAAAAATTTACTCCCTTTCTTTTAAGAATGATTTTACAAAACTTTCCATTTCACTGTCACAGATTTACACTGTATGTGAGAGGCTGTGATGTATCAAGTATCTTTATTTCCAAATGGAGAGGAGGCCCAATTTCTGCTGACCTCAAGACTTCCAGTTGTCTCTTCGAGGCAAATCCTAGGAATAAGAAGCATATCTGATGATTCTTATTTGAGGAGAGGGTTTTGTTGGCTGTTCAAAGATATAGGATTAAAAATAAATCTTTCTGCAGTCTGTCAGCTGACAGAGTGAATGATGAGATTGTTTTTTAACAGATTGGTTTTATACTTATTGCAGAAGAGCTGAAGGAGCACTTGATAGGTGAGCGTGCAATTGACAAAATCTTCACTCTGGGGAACTCTGAATTTCCTGTTAGCTGGGACAATGAAGTTAAACTTTGGACATTCCTAGAAGCCAGAGCATCCCTTCTTTTGAAAACCTATAAAACAACTGTGGAGGTAAAATTATCATCATAATTTAAATGTCTGAATTCTTCTGTGTGTTGTGATTGTAGGATAGGATATTTTGTCCTCCATCTCGTCTTTGCAACCTTCAATCTGAATGTTAGTACATAATTCATTCTGTACTTTTTAAAGTGCAGAAAGAGTTTTGCATTATCTAAGGAAAATCAAATAAGATTGCAAAAAAGAAAATTTTGTTAATGTAATTTTGTTAATGTATTTTTCCTTTGAATCTCCAAGTAGAGACTGCCTGCTTTTTTCTCTGCAAATAAGATGGGGAATTAGTTTCAACTTGTTGTCTCTTAGTTGCATTCTCCAGGCTGCAAAGAAATGTGCTCCTATTGCAAATGTATAAGTGAACCTATATGCTGCATAAGTTTGTGAAATAACCTGACTTTGCTTGTCATGCAGACTGATTTATGTGCAGAAATTTTGGGCTCTTTTATGATTTCATGACAAATTTCACTGGGACTCCTTGCAGACCCTCTCATGTCCAGTTAGCTCAGCCTGGTGTCACTTCCTGTTCACAGAAAGAGATAAGAGGTGAGGGGCTCTTTTATTGTATCGGGTGTTACAGATTTGCATTTTTTTTTTCTAACAGGTTGATAAGTCCTTCCTGGAGACTCATGACCTCACTCCACATGCAATAATGGCCATCAAATTGCGCTTAGGTGAAAAAGAGATCCTGGAGAAGGCAGTGAAGAGCGCGGCTGCCAGCAGAGAGTATTATACCAAACAAATAGCAGATGGGGCTCCACTTCCTAAGTATGAAGAGAGCAATATTGCCTTGTTGGAGAACACTGTGGCAGACTCTAGACTCCCCATTGTCTTGAGAAACCTAGAAGATGTGGAGGAGCAAGGGGACTTAAAGATTGATGAAGCCATTGATGCTGAAGTCACAGAGAATGGGTTTGTAAATGGTGAAAACTCTTTATTTAATGGGACCAARTCAGAAAGTGAAAATCTTAATAAAGAGAAAAGCAACAGAGGGACTGAAGATGCCAAAGAATCTTCTTCAGAAAGTACTGATGAGGTTAAAGAATAGTCCTAAAATTTTACTTTCTTGTGAAATTAAACTAGCTGAAGTTTATGAACAGTGCATTTATGTTGGTGTGTTTCTTTGTTAACATTTCTCTTTCTGCAGAGAAAAATGGTTTTGCTGCTTTATATAAAAATGAATTTTTAAGTTATTTAAAATATTTAGCGTCCCTTTTCAATTAAGATTGCCATCTTGCTTTCAAGCAAAAACTGGGGAAAGAGGTGCCTTTGGAAGCCCTTTGTTGAACCAAATGTATTTTCTTCCTGGGGAAGAATTAAGCTCTTCTATCTGCTGTGCGTTTGTTGTTCTGTCACTCCGACTACTGAAATTAAAAGCTTGCTCTGCCTTCTGCCAAGAAAAGCAGAAGGCAGGACTGACTTGGTATTCGGCATGAAGGTAGGAGAGCAGTGCAGCAGAAAACTGAATGAGAGGATCAGAAACTTGGGAGACTGGAGGAAAACCTGTTTAAAATCAGGTGTGCCAGTCCAGAAAAAGGTAAGGTGGCAACCTTATGATTGGTAGTTTTAAATGTTGATGAGAATCCAAATTGTATACACGTAAAGTGATCTTTTAAGATTTCAGTTTACTTTGTCTTTTGTTTACTGTATAAAATATCTTTCTTCTTCAGTCAGAGTTAGGCTGCTACAGTACAACATTCATGAACTTTTAAAGGCTGACTACTTTTTATTTCCAGGCAGTAGTTTTCATTTACATTTGGCAGAGCTATTGGAGATTTTGAAAGCAGATAGGCCAAGCCACAGCTTTAAACTGATCAAAGTGAGGTCGCTTCCCAGCTTCTTCAGGTTTCCACAACTAGCTAGAGATTTTCAAAGCTACACTTTTGACTAAACCATTATTAAAAGGAAAATATTATTAATATTCCTGTCTGCTACTCCTTCATTTCTGTGTTGTTGAATGTAACACTGAATGTCACATGGTTACCTGGTCTTACACAGCCTTGCCTTTTGGTTAAGGTATTAATTGATTCTGCTTTCTCAAAGAAAATGGCAAGCAGGCTTATGTATTTTTGGCCCAAGTCCYGAACCACAGCCAAGTCTGCAGTGCTTTTTTGCCATTTAGATTGTGTCTTCATCCGATGCACATTTCTTGGGATACCTCCACAAATTAAACAGGTCTACTGTCACCAGCAGTTTTGGTCACCCTCATAGTATGTATTTTAACTTCTAGGTGGAAACAATACAATCCTAGCACTGTGCAATATCAGAACAAGGGTAATTCCATGGCTTGACTTTGAAATTACCAGGGTATTTGGAGGAGAGGAGGGCAGAATATTTTTATTTTGTGGATCAACAGAGAGGAGTATAAAGTGATTTAATTCTGTTCTCAGTACTAAGGACTTTGTCTTTTAAATTTTGTATCCTTAAGTTCATAATAATGGATAGAATAGATAGCTTGGACAGTTGTTTAAAACTCAATAGAGGTTGCAAACTGCTCATCTAAGATCAGTTGCAGTAAAATGTATTTTGGCACATCCATAGTTTTATTAGACTTCGCTTCTTTTATACTGCAACCTGGAAAATGTGTTTTTGCATCAATCTTTGGTGCAATGCACATTTAAGTAGTGACTTTCTTTCAGGTTGTCATAGAAGTTCTGGTGTTCAGCTAGTATCATTGTGGGGAAAATAGAAAAAATAGTTTTTTAAAAAGTATTTCACTAAGAATGGCGCGTTGCCATTGCACCTTGGATATTGCTTCATCACTAACAAGATGCTGGACCAGTATTTTTGTAACTATATGCTGCCTTTGGTAGAATGTTATTAATTGTTGTCTTGACAATTTWAATGTCATACACGAGTCATTTTGGTTTTTATTAGGACCAATACTCCATTTCTGTTTCTGCCACTTACATTGCACAACATTGTACTAGATACTATGATGCAATTCTGAAACTAGCCTTCCCTGAAAATTATAACTGTAATTCAGAATTTATATGCTTTGATTCAATCTGGTACACTGTGTTTTGTTCCAGTATTTGCTAATATCTATGGCTTAGCAAAGCCTGTGGTCACCACAGGATGGAATGTGTGGGTTTTCTTGAATAAAATATAGTTCTACCATGTCTTCAGTAGTGAGTGTATTATACAAAGCAAGCCTCTACCTGCTACTGACTGCTGTATCTTTTGGGGTCTGTGGGGAGAGGAGTATCTGTCCAGGTGTACAGATAAAGATTAAAGGACAAATAGCTGGGGAACAAAAAAAAAAAAAAAAAGGATTCTAGTAAAAGAAAGGGAAAGTGTTCTACTGAGTGCATGGTCAAATTCTTACTCTTCATCTGTTAGTGTTATTTAGAAAAATATGTTACACACAATAAAAATAGTGAGTAATCTAATTTTGTAATTTGCATTTTTCCTCTATGCTTGTAATGGTTCCTTCAKAAGCACTAACCTAAAACTTAAGCTTTTGAAAACTGAGGTGGAAACAAAAAAAATTGGCACTGATGAGCCCTTATTACCATCTGTCATGAAAACAGACCTTTCAAAGCATTTTAAAGTTAACTTTCTTCATAATGTTTGGTTAAGAGGCTGTTCACACTAATCCCAGGCTAAATGCCAAATCTTGCTTCTGTTTAGCTATCTAAAGTATTCCTGTAAGAAAGACATCACTTGCATTTCTCGGACTGTTCTCCAAAAGCAAAACAGGGGAAAAAAAAGCCTTTTGAATTTTACATGAACCTACCTACTGATGAATCATTTCCCTAACAACCTGTAACTGGTTTGGGTCTGTGCCATGAGGCGATGTCCATATTTCCCTGTTGATAAAGTCAAATATATGAAATTGAGCAACAACCACCACCCTGAAAAAATTGTTTTAAAGTGTAAATGCTACTCTAGCTTAAGTGCTGTCATGAGTGAAGGAGAAATGAGAGCCTTCTGGCTGGGGAGGTGAGATGGTTTTTGTTCTTGGCTAGAATAAGTGTTCTTTGCCTCAGACATTATAAGGTGGTGTGTACAGAAAATCTGTGCAACCCAACAGTAACTGCCTTCTTGAGGCTGATTTGCCTTTAGAGAGAAAAGATCATCATGGAGTTATGAAACTTGCATGATTCAAAGGTATTCTGGGAGATTTAGGTAACAAAATCTTCTCTAGTTCATATGTTTAAAAACAGTATGTAATATCTACTGCTGCCCCTTCTATCTCCCTTGTTTTATAGAAAGGCATGTGAAGTAATTATGAAACACCATTTGAAGTATTTCATCCAGGCAAAAGAAAGGTGCCCCCAAACTCCACTCCTCTTTCCTGATTTAATGGACTGCAAGTCAGTTCAGCTATTTACTATGCTCTGTTCCAAAAAGGTGTTTTCAATAAAAACATTGCCCTACCAAATTTATCTGATGAAGCAATACCCATCCGTTTTCCTCTAGAAGATTTTTAACTGATCCTTGTTGAAGTCAGATATGACCACATGATTTTCACGTAATTACCATCTATATTTAATTATTTCTATCGTGTTTCCTTCTTTGCATGCACTGTGTGCTGTGCAAAGTACAGCACATAAATTGGTGACTCACAGTTAGAAAAGCTTTCTTAGCATTTCGCAGGTTCTACGTCTATTTCCTAACAAATGCCAGAAGTTTGGAAACCATGTGGAGGATTTTTCACTTAAAAGTAAAAAAAAAAAAAAACCTCAGTCCATAATTAAGAAAAAAGGAAGCCACAAATGGTCCTGGTTTCTGGACCTGGTGTCATTTTAAATCACAGAATATTAAGCTGGATAGGGAAGGAAACTGAGATGATGTTCTTTTGTAAGTGGAAAATAAGAGCTGGACGAGTAAACAACAGCTAGTTTGTCTGGGAGGCAGGGAATGCTGTTCTGAAGAGCAGAAGGTTCAAGAGTTATTTCAATGAGTGTTCCAAATCATCTCCAATTAGTTCTGTAATTGTGAAATTTCATCGCAATTAGGCAAGGACATCACTATCCCTAGGAACAGGTGAACACATTCGGYTCACAAACTATTGTGAGGTGTTGAACTGGCAGTGAAGAGCAGATGTGAGCGGCTGCTGCCTTGTTGTCAGTGCGGTGCTGGGGTAACCTCAGGGAGTCTGGGTTGGAGTCACTGCTGTCCATTAACTCTGCTCTGCCATTGGGACAACTGCTCAGTACTRCAGGTTAAGGAAAGGCTTTACAAATCCAGCTTGGAAGGGCTGGGCAAAGCTACAGAGAGTAGTATGGAAATAGAAGAGACTGTTGTACTCAGGTCGGTCACCTGAAACAATGTGTCTACAATTAGGGGCCTTCATCYACATGACCTTTTTTGAATAGGACTATTTTATTTTTTGAAGCACAGAAGAGGCTTTTGAACCTGAGTCTTCTGTCTTCCTAATTTGGAGRAACCACACAATAATTTACCAATTAATACCAGTTGAGATTTGGCAAAGTAAGTGATGCTGATCACCACGTCTTGTCCCTTTGAGCACCTTGATGTGAACTGGAGACTTTGCTTCTTCAGAAGGGTGCTTAAAATCTGCATGAATATAGGGAATAGAATCTTGAATCTGTGAGTAATGTTAATTTCCCAACTGAATAACCATTGCTGTAGCATAGATTGAAACATCAGCAAAACTAGATAATTGAACTTAAACAGTGGTGTTTTATTTGATTTTACTGTTTTTAAAAAATGAACCAAATTGACAGTCCTGAATGCCCAAGTCATTTGTCCATTGAATAGGATTAACAGGGGCAAAAAGCAAATTTCCCTGTAACATCCCATGCATGGCCGACACCAAGGGTAGCTTAGTTCCAGCTTGGAGCCTTGTTTCACTTACAGATGTTACTGACCAGGTACCCTCTTGCTTTGTGTTCAGCTGGGGCAGCCTACCTGTTCACTAGATGCATGGCTGTCCTCTTGGCCAGTTCATCAGTGTTTGACATGGTGCTATGGAATTCAGATTTCATGTACTGCTACCTTAGACCCATGCAAATGGAGTCTTTCTTTCTTTCTTTTAGCTTTCTTTTTGTAAATGCAGTTTGATTTAAATATGCTGCAGTTTTGTCGTATTCACTGAAGTTGCCTGTTCCTCCTGTGTAAGGCTGAAATTTGGAAACTGAGTAGGTGTCCTGCATCCAGCAACTGCTTTATGATATGGGTTAAGGGAAATTCCATTCCCTTTGCTTTATTCCATGCTGGTTCACCRCTTTCAGTAATGTTAATACCTCAGCCAAGGCTCCTAATTTCAGCACTGGTAAGTGGGCTCATATACAGATTTGTGGTCC